TATATATATATATATATATATATATATATATATATATATATATATATATACATACATACTTTTTTTAAAATGTGTTTTAAACCCTTCCCACACTCTTGAGATATTCTAAACAATGTGTCTAAACTCGAAACACTCTAAAAGAACACAGCATGTCATGAACTCAGCTCACTGCCATGCTATCGGCCACACCCACTTCTCCACTGCAGAACGAGATTGACAGAGGAGGGAGGAAGAGCTGCAGGAAGACGTTTCTCCTGCAGTGTGGGCTGCACAAAGGTGTAGCAGGTGCTAGAAATGTTAAATAATTAGTATACAAAAAAAAAAAAATCCATGCTGATGGTGTGGCTCATCCATCAATCAGCCAATTGCATGTCATGTACAATCTTAAAAAAAAAACTGCGATAAACCGACTCCATGAAAAACAAACTGCGAAGTATGGAGGGACTAGTGTATAGGATATTGCATTTGGGCTTGAGATTTTTGAATGATCAACTGCAAAACATATGGAATGTAGAATCAAAGAATTTTCATTTATTATGCTATCATTTATTCACGCTACTTTTAAACTTTAGAAATAATAAATGACAACATTTATTTTTTTTATTTTTTTTTTATTCTGTTAAAAGTTCAAAGCTTTAAATGACTTGCACTGATTCAACAATTTTCAGTCAGGTCATCTGGACAGTTTATTTTTTTGATGAAACATTTCACCTTGCACCCGGAAGGCTTCATCAAAAAAAAAAAAGAAACTGTCCAGATGACCTGACTAAAAATTGTTGGATTGTATACCTGGATTATTGAGCATGGAGTTTTTTGGTTTTGAACCAGTTTGACAAGACTGTCGACGAGGAAGTGGGCTGGCATCGGAGGAGGGTGTGTGCCAAAGACACCATCTTAGCACCAACATAACTGGTTTGTTCCACTTTGGAGTAAGCTGTTTGGTGGAAGAATCACTTTTGTGTTGTGTGTTTCCTTGACTGATGAAGCCTTCTGGATAAAAGGTGAAACGTTTCAGCAAAAAAAAAGAAACTGTCCAGATGACCTGACTGAAAATTGTTGGATTGTATACATGGATTATTGAGCATGGACTTTTTTGACTTGCACAGATGTAAAAAAAAAAAAAAAAAAGATACATTAAAAATTAATGGATTGTATAGGAATATTCTCTTTGTGCATTCTTACTTGATGTACTGCATTTTTAATCAAGCCAAGTACAAGGGTATGATGATGCTAAATAGATTTGTGCCATGTCAACATGGACCCAATGCAGCAACAGAGCAGAAAATAGGCAGCTCAGACATCTGTTAGAGTGGTGCATCCATTTCACCTGAAAGAAGCCTTCCAACAGAGCAGATAGAGATGAAAGGACTGACAGGTCTGATTAAATCCTCTCTCAGCAACCCCAAATAAGCTTTTCTAATTGTTCATGATGTCAGAGAGAGGTTTGGAATCAAAGTCATTGATCCTCAAAAATAACTACCTAAATAAATAAAGTGACGATCTTTTGAAACCCCCCACTGCAACCAAATATTTGGCTGGATGGAATTCTGAAGAAAGCACTTTTTTTTTTTTTTTTTTTTTTTTTTTTTTGAGTTTCAAAGTTTTAAGACTGCATGGTTTGGTTAAGGTTTAGTTATTCTAGAGAAGAGATAAGTGTACACTATTATGTAATAACTTATTTTTCTAATGTTTATGAATATGACTATTTCCATATCCATGTTACAGCTCTCTTACAAAAAAATGTACTAAGGATTACAGCATTGTGATTACAATTTAAAAGTACTAAAACTTTGAGTTGTGGTTGGATACATGCGCCTAGAAAAAGCTATGTATAGCAAAATGTTTGGAACAATCCCTCGAGGCTTGAGAACTAATCTCTGACTGCTATGGATTTGGTGGATGGTAATACGATTTAAGCCTTAAAGTGTTAATCCTTAAGATCCTTAAGAGTCATTGAATTGGAGTTTTGCTGCATCAAGTCTATATGTTAATTTCTCTGTTTGCAGGGATATACAGTACAACTATAGATGTATTCAGGCAGAATTTAAAAAAAAATTATCTATGAGGGTTTTATAGACTGAACTGTCAAGCAGGTGATCACATTTTATTAGATGAGAAATATGGAGCAAACTTTTTTTTTTTTTAATCAGTAGTGGCCTATGACGATTTTTCATAAAAGCGTGTTTATTTACTATGCATTTTTTTTCTTATGCATTTTATGTAGCCTTTGATGTGATCATTGGTCACAGTAAACGCCTAAGGTGACTGATCATTCCCAATATTAACCTTTGAAGTAATACCACTAATATGTGCAGAAAAGCAAATTAGAAGTGAGTCTAAATCAGTCAGAACACTCAAAAATGTTGGAAACAATTGTCAAAGGTTATGGATCCAACAAACCAACCAATGGCACAACACATGGCAACACACAATTTATAATATTTTCTTTTGTTATTGTTTAAACCTTAACACTATATCCACTCAGCACATTTTACCCATGACTATTTATTTATTGTAGCACCTTCCTTTTTTTATTTTTTTATTTTTACTTTATCTTTTTCCCATTCTTACCAGTTAATTGGATCAACCACAATGGCCCGGGGGTGAGACATATTTCCTTCCAGCAGTGTCTTTCTGGTCTGGGATGCTTTTTCTAGACTGGCAACACTGATTGTCTTCCTGTACCCATCATTGGTCCAGTATAAGTTGTTTCCAATCCAGTCCACAGAGATGCCTTCAACATTGTCAAGTTCTACAAAAAAAACAGTACCACATAAGTAAAATATTTAAAATGCATAAATTCAATCTAACTTTTGTAAAGAGTTTTGAATTTATTATAAAACAATAATACAGTGAAGTTGTGAATGTAGTTGTTCAGTGTCCTGAGCTAACTTATGTTGTGACTTGGCACTATATAAATGAACTGAATTGAATTATTAATCAAATACAATAATATAAATAAATAAAACCTTTTGTTTGCTGCTGCACATTTGTTTTTTTTTTTTTAAGAAAATACAACTTAATACATTTAATTTGTCTCATCAAATAAATGGTATGAAGGAAATTGTTTAATCCTAAAGAAACCAAGACAGTAAAGCCTAGAAAAAAGTTGTATTGAATAAATAAAATGTAGGAAGTGTGGATTGTCTGACTACAAGCCCATATTGTATCATGATCAACGTTAACAAAAAAGTAAAAAAAAGACAAATATGTTGAGAACAGACATAATGCGTTTAAATGACTTGTCTCAGATGAGTTTGTCTAATAAAACATTTAGCATAAAAGAGAACATTTAATGTGAGGAAAACACTACATGCCATGCAAGAAACAATATTTTAGACCTACCATCTTTGAGGATTGTCTCCCTGCCACTCCCATCTATTTTTTGACGCCCAATAAGGAAACTGGTAGTATCAGCAAAGTAAATGTGTCCCATTTCTGCATGGTAATCAATGGCTCGAGGGTTGACTAGGTCCTCAATTGATACCATGTGCTCATCATTGGATTTGATATTCATATCCAGGCCTCGAATGACCCCAGGGCGTCCCTTACCATAGAAGAGGAAGAAATCGTTTTTGGGCTCTATAAGACAAGAAAGGACAAACCACATTTTATTGTCAAATAAGTGCTCTAATTCATTAGTGCTGATCCTTGCATTAAACCCTTTTACCAACCACATTGTTCTTATATCTTTTTGATGCCTTGGCCATTTATTCACCTTAATGGAGCAAGTAATATGTGCCAATGACTATACTTTCTACCCTCAATCAGGATCCTGCTGTAACACTGCAAGGGAAATAGTAAAATGCTTAAGCAAACAGACAGTTGCAATACTTACCTTGACTATGAATACTGTTTTCAGTCTTAAATAACTGGGGTTTGATAAGAAAAGCAAATGGGAAAACCTGGAGCTGAGGCAGCTCCACAGTGGCCTCCCAGTGGCGCAGGGGACTGCATATTCTCGAACCCTTTGGGAACCTCTGAAGAGGCAAAACAGGAATGAAGTAGGGCTTCCATTGAGAGAAACAGACCTCTCCCTGCTCTCAGTCCTTACCCAGGAGACTAAGATGCTGAGGGTGAGGACCACACATGCCTCACTTCAATTTATCATTTTGTGAGGGAGAGACTAACTACCCAGGAGACAATTAAGCATTGCAAGAGACCCAGATATCAAACCCCAACTGTGACTGCTGTATGAAAAAAGACATCATTTAACACCAAATCTCATTATGTTTAGAGAGATGGAAAGTGAGAGCAAGAGAGAGATAGCTGGTGTCATCAGAACATCTACAAGGAGGGACAATAAATCAAATGTGTCATGCAAAAGCTCCCATAGCCCCATTAGCCTGATCGAACTGTGGTAGGCCCTCAAATTGTGTCATCAATTTGATCTTCGGCTTTTATTGTCAACTACACAATGTCCAGCGATTGATCAGACCAGCCAACAAATGCAGGCAAACTTAAAACCTCATTATGGCAATAATCTATCAAGCTCCCAACAGGTCGATATCAGTATGTCACATTCACATAGAGCTTTATTCACCAGCTCTCATCTTTATTACAGTCAGCCTACAGCTGTGCTAACATGCCACTTTCTCAGCTCTATTAGAACGCATGACCTTTACAGGCACAAGATTTAAAAAGAGCAGCAATACAGGGAAAAACAATCCTTAATAATAAGGAGCAATACATGTTGTCAATCAAAGTAGTCTAGGTGCTGTATGAATAACGAGGACAAAGTTATGTTTATTAAAAAAAATAAAAAATGGGTGAGATGAGACACGTTTTTCAAGAGGGATGTGGTAGCTCAGTAGTCTGTGGTTGTGTCAGGAGGGGCATCCAAGTGTAAAAACAATAGCCAAGTCTTTGTACGAGTTAGTTCACTGGGGTGACCCCTAAGGAAGGGAGCAGCCAAATGGAAAAATAAAAAACGTATATATTCGGATAAGAAAAAAAAAAAATAAAAAATAATAACCTAAAAGCATTCGATATTCATAAAAGATAAATGTGTGAGAAAGCAAAATAAATAAAAAAAGTTTGAAATAAATATAAACTAGCTTGAACTTTAAAATAATCATTAATTAATGAATAAACTAAAACAAATGGCATCTCTATCAAATCAGTATATATTTTCTATTTCCTTATATAAGCAGAATTGTGATTTTACAGTGTCTCATTATGTCGTTGGCATGCCTTTGTGCAGCCTGTTCAAACCTACACTCACAGATGGGTTTTGACATTAGCCTTTCAAGCAACCCACATGGGATGCAGTGCTGTAAATTTAGTAGCACGCAAAGTTTAAGTATCTAGCAAAAGGATACTGTTGCATATACAGATCTCAAACACAAACTGATAACTGACTACCATAACTATAAAAAAATATATATATATATCAAAGATTGTTCAGCACCGTAACCCATAGATACCATGTGTGTGACCACATTTGGTTTGTTCATACAAACATTCTATGATTGGCAAGTAATACAAGAGTTAGATGGTAACACTTTTTCTTTGAGTTACATTATATGTTTAAGATGGTTGACTATCTACTTACTTACCAACCACCACCCGATATAAGTTGATATAAAGTTAAAAACTAACCATGAAACAAGCACTTGCTGCTATGTGACTTACATTGAATTAAGAAAAAAAAAAGTTAATTGAATTGAAAGCCTTTTCAGAGAATGTTTACATGACAAATTCAATCACCACATTAGGCTAATGTTGTTGCAAACTGATGTCCTCCTTTATCGCTATTGCCTAGCATAGAGTACAAGATAACAGGAACTTAATACAACCACTGCACCGTCCAAGAAGATAGGCTTGGATGCATTTAAACAAACAGAAAACAGCACATCAATTATTTTTTAGTGACACTACGCATATGTTGGATGCTTCTGAGTTTAAATGTAGCTTGAACAACAAAAAGCACAACTATAGCAGGGTTCGCTAGGATGAAAAAGCGTGAAACACAGCGAGAAACAAAGAAGCATGAAAGTGAAGCGCAGACGATATCTGCACTTGTCACTCTTAATCATTCTTAACATCCAAGCTGTTTATAGCAAATGCAGAACGTACACGATACTGATCCAAGACTTTAAGCAATCCCTGTTTCTCCACTGAAGCTTGTGTATTACAATAAATGATTTACAAAGCTGATTCTGAATATTCCTCCTAAAAATATTCTCAAAAACTCTCAAGCCCAGTTCTATAAATGTAAAGGTCAAACCAAACATGTTAGGTTTATTTGATATGAGACACTTGGAGGAGAAAAAAATAAAAAATAAAGAAACACAATCATCTTTTTTATCAGGCCAGAATGAAATATGAAAAAAAGCCTTGCAAAGGCAAACACTTTTGCCTCCACCTAACTAAAGTTTTAAAATGGAGAGACAGTGATACTAATGATAGTTTCAAATATACTAAAAATTGCAAGTCTAATCGTTTATATGTAACAAAAGAAATATATAATACATGTTTCCTAATGTTTAGTCACAAGAGAGCTAGACAGTCTGAGAAGACATTGTGTTATGTGGAAGTCCCTAAAAGTCCATGGTTCTGGAACAAATGCAGGACTCACAACTATGAGGTACATGTAAAACCATATACCTTAAATTTCACATAGTTTTATGATACTAGTTTTATTGTTTATGAAATGATGCTGTCTTATTATTTGACTAAGCTGTAGCTTGATGATGAACTGATTAAATCTTCAAAATGTAATATTTTATTTTATTTGTTTTTTTAGATTTGTGTTAAAATATGTATTGGATGTGCCAAAATAGAAATCAAAAGTAAAATATATACTAACTTTTACAAGATTTCCCATCAAAGCCCAGGCTGTAGCCAATACGACAGCGGCAAGTTTTAGACTTGTAACTTCCACTCAGGAGACACATTTGCGAACATCCTCCTGGCTTTCCATATGAATCCATTTCACAAGCATGGCTCCTAACTGTGGACAAAATCAGAAAAAAAAAAAAAACAAACTAATAAATAAATGTAATCCAGTAAAGCATCATGTTCTCAAATTTATCAGAATTCAGCTTGTGAGTCATATAGGCTGAATCATGACACATATGGCAAATGTTTACTTAAAGGAAAATGTCCTTTACCTTTTGGCTGAGCGAGTTTGTGGTAAACACGCAATCCTCTAGAACTCCCCAGGGTGGTGAGTGTCCTGCTGTCTGCTGTGATGTTGAATCTGTGCACCTGCAGCAGCTCTGCAGCTGAACTCCCTTTGGAAGGGTCAGAGTGGATAGCATAGAGGTAGTCTTCAAACACAGCAAATGCATATATGTACACCACCTGAAAAAAAGAACAAGATATGATTTTTTTTTTATATATATATATTTATGAAATCTAAAATGAAGATAAACTACAGTAATCAGAAGACAACAACTAAACTGAATCATTGAAAGCATTATCTGCTAACATGCATCCAGCATTAGGAGGATGGGAAATGGTGGTGTGACTGGTGCATTTGGCAGACCATTCAGGGTCAAAAGCTGGACTCCACTGGGAGATCACTGGCCCTGACACAACAGCCTCGTATGCTACATTTAGCAGGCTGACACCAACACAAAGCAACATGGCTGGATGAGCTATATTTACAGGAAGTACACTTAAGCACACCGGCCCACACCTCAACATCAGAGGCAACAGGATATGTGTAAAAAAAAAAAAAAACTATCATCTACCTCTCTGTGGAATATGTCTACAACTCTACTTTTACATGGTGTTTTTTAAAGAAACTTGAAACTTAGTACCTCAAAAATGTACAAACTATGTGCATGTGATCTTGGATACAGCTAATACAGTATATTGCATTTATTCTAGTTTTTGTTCTACAATTAAAAAACAAACAAACAAACAAACAAAAACTGAATTAATGGAAAGGGGACAAAGGTGAGAAAAAAATTAGGACATCTAAGTAATTTCATAAAAAGTAATTTAACTAACAAACTATATCTGCATTTCTCCTAAGTTATATGAAAGGGCCATATTAGCAAAAGCCAACCAAACAACAGAAGCTTAATAGCTTAGCTATATGAAAATAATAATTATGAATTTATTTTTAATTTTTATTTTATTTCTTTTTAGAATTCCCCCACAAAAATTAAAAGTTTGACTTGACAATAATAATTGTTAAGACTTTTGGACATTAAAAATGTAGTGCAGTGTAAATCTATAAATTTGTAAAGCCAGGTGAAATCATACAAATTAATTTACTTGACATTAACTAAAATTATATTTATGCATACACAATGAATATATATATATATATATATATATATATATATATATATATATATATATATA